TGTGGCATGACCTGTGTCAAGTGCACCACAGTCCTCTAAATAACAGCCTTATTTCGCAATGCTTTAAAGACATCCTGATGCAGTGCATCATTTGATACTTTGACTACTGCTTTCATGAGTATTGACTGTGGACCCAAGCAAGATGAAGTTCATAACAACTTTAATCGTTTCTGTTTATCATGAGCTTACCTATTGGTCCAGTTGTGAGGGTCTTCGTGTTTCTTTACATTGAGTTGTAATCAATACTGAAGGCTGCAATCATTTTATTCATCTGCAGGTGTTTGAGTCCTTCTCTCCTTCAGCAAGGAAGCTTGTGTCATCTGTATGTTGTAGGTAGTTAATAAGCCTTCCTCCGATCTAGATGCCACCGCCTTCTGCATATAACCCAGCTTCTCTGATGATTTTCTCAGCACACAAATTGAATAAGTATGGTGAGAGGATACAACCCTGCAGTTCTGCTCCCTTGTTTCTGGTTGAATGAGTGCCTCTTGGTCCCTGCATAGGTTCCACATGAGCACAATGAAGTGTTCTGGAATTTCCTTTCTTCTCAAGGGTATCCATAGTTTGCTATGATCCACCCAGATAAATACCTCTGCAGAGTCAGTAAAACCACAAGTAAACTTCCTCTGACATCAGCAGTCATAGCCCTGGCTCCGTGTCCTCTTCTAAATTCAGCAGGGACATCTGCTAGCTCCCTATCAATGTTCTGCCCCTATTAGTAGCCTTGATACAGAGTAGTGATTTAAATGGCACTTGATATTTTGAAATGCTCATAAATACTTGTTATCAAATAGATTCTTTGTTCATAGATTTGTAAAGTTTTGAAAATTAAAGTTTACTCTTGTGTGCTTTTTTCCATACTAGACTATTCCTAGGGTGTGAACATCCAGTGTATGCAGTTTGTTGACTGAAGAAATGCCTGTAAACCTTTTATATTAAAATTCTACAAATTATATGAGGGGGCTTCAAAAAGTTTGTGGGAAAATTCCCTTATCTCTTAATTTCATTTTCCCATGAACCTTTTGAAGGCCCCCTCATAAATGATTACTTGTTACTTTATTATTCTTGTTAAATTATTACTATTATTATTAAAGGTATTTTACTGTATTTGGAAGTGTTTCTTCGATTTGTTTTTAATGCATTGATCTATCACTAGCATTGAGCCAAGACTGTAAATCTTTTTTTTGTTTTGTTTTGTTTGGGCAAATCTGCTGCAAAGCATGTCTATAAAGTTTTTTTTGTTTGTTTGTTTGTTTTGATGTTTTTTTTTGGTTTTTGTTTTTGTTTTTAATCATTTTATTGGGAACTCGTAAAACTCTTATCACAATCCATACATACATCCATTGTGTCCAGCACATTTGTACATATGTTGCCATCATTGTTTTCAAAGCATTTTCTTTCTACTTGAGCCCTTGTTATCAGCTCTTCATTTTTTTTTTCTCTTTTTTAACATTTTATTAGGGGCTCATACAACTGTTATCCCAATCCATACACACATCAATTGTGTA